TGCACAATTTTCCAGGATTGGTGCGTGGGAATGCCGCTTAATATTGACATGCACCCTGTAGGGAGCTAAACTAAATAATGTGGTTAATTAAATATTCATTGTAGAAAAGGAAGAGCTGTTACTTGTTCCAGACCTAAAGGCACACTCTACGAGTTTCCAGTAGGAGAAACTAGTCCTTGCACAACGTAGCCCGGTTTACAGCTCCAAAGCTGCACCACTTTAATCCTTTGACGCCTTGTACGGGACTTGAGACTTCGATGGCTGATGTTGGTTATGCCACGACTACCTTACCATAACTGTGTCATGATATGTCGGGGCAGTTCGGCGACAGGGAGGGGCATTTTGCACTTTTGCTACTTCCCATCGACGTGTCGACCTATCTAGACAGCCTCTTCTCGAGTTGACAGGTTTTAACCATGATGGCTTGACGACCTTGCTCCAGCTTCACAAGAGTTCACAGGTTTCACCAGAGTGAGACTTGTAAACCAGAACTAGTGAAGCAGCGAAGTGCAAAATGCCCCCCCCCCTCCTCGCCGAACTGCGCCTAGTGTGTCATGCGACGCGTCTCAAAGGTAGGATAGTTGATATGACAAAAATACCAGATTCAACTGATTGTTCGCTAGCCACTGTGGCTTGTGGCTGACAAACAGTTAGCACTGGAGTTGAGTGATCCGGACGAGTTGTTCAGCTTGGAACACGCCACGTATAACCCGTCAACAAAACTGTTATTGTGCCATGCGACAGCTTCCTTCGAGGTAGTGTTCGGTTGGCTCGATTAATGTCAGTGAGACCCCTCTTTAGCCGTAACCCCTCCGGAGTTGTAAAAGTACCAATAAGAAGCCGGACGAGTATTCCTACCCTGTACAAGAGTAGGCAAGACTCTGTTCCGAGTGACATCGATTTTCTTCTCGCTCCTTGCCATTCAAATCCAAACAGCCGGGCAGGACAACTCGTCTATCGCATGCGCGGCGTCGCTCGCCACGTGCACAGCGGCATGTTGCGATTGGCTTGCCACGCACCCCCGTAGGATCCCATCAACTGCAGTAGCACCAACTCTCTACTTCCATGCATCTCGTCCTATGAGTCCTCAAAATACTTTTTTTATTCCTTAGAAACCAATGGCATTTTACTGATAGAAAGGCGAAAGCTTTCTATCTGTCAATCTTGTGTCCTTCTAGCCAAGGCTGCCATAAAAACATGATGAAGAAGGATCGTCAAAAATAAACTTCATCTCTGAGTAACAAGTTGTCAACATAACAAATTTAACCAATTTTTCTAGTCTCTATAAGGCCCCAGACAAAGACATTGCTTCTTTTTCTCGCATTTTTCTTCTTTCTTCTCTAGTATACCGGTGAACTCTCGGCTTTTTCGGTTCCTGCTGGGAACGGGTTGGCTTCGCCCTTGATGCTGACGAACTTTCTCGTTCCGCTTTCGCCACTGCTTCTTGGATGACAGACTTGTACCGCTGCAATTTACAATATTAGATCATAAAAACTACGAGAGGAACGTGAAAAAAATTCACCCTACCCCACTCACCCCCCCCCAAATAAACTGTAGATTCACTGAATTTCTTGTGAAGGGAAGATGACGACCTTCTGCAGGTTTTAGGCATAGCGCAGGAGGCTCACACTGCGACGACACGCAGAAGAGAATAGTCCAGCTACTTGACTTGACATCCCGCAGTATTTCCACCTTAGGCAGCGTTCAGACTTCACTATGACCCGCGTCGACGGGCGGCGCCGATCGATTGCCGTCCGCGGCTGCGATCGCCTCTATAGTACTGGTGCGATTGTGACGCGCCGACGCGCGTCACTGCGCATTACAGCGCGTCATCGCGAATTTGAACGCTAGTTTAAACCAATTAGGACTTGGTGTGAATGTCGCACACGCGATACACATGCAACGCCATGTCGCCGCAACGTGGATCACCCGCCACTGCACCCGAGAATTCCCTCCATAATTGAAACAAATTCAAACAAAACTCACTTCTAACAACTCTGTTTCCTCCTTCGTAGCTTGAGCGAACACTCTTATACAGCGAGTCAACGACCGTTTTGATCGATTCGCCGATATCGTCTCCACGAAAGTAGGAACGCAAAATCGACGATGCTGCATTGAGAGGCAGGTGCTTGGAGAGAAATTCAAATCTGCAAATATAGTTCTTAACCTAGAGCCTTGATGAAA